CTGTTCAGCTCTTTAGTATCTTGAATTCTTCCTTGTGCTTTGGCTTCTCTATGCTCCAGTGCAATCTTCAGAGTCTCTTCTGACATCCCTTTTGGTATATATTGCATAAATCGGTTGAAATTGTTTTATATGACTTTTACTTCAAGGGGCGTATGTTGAGATTTTTCTGACTTATTTGGAAATTAAAACTATCCAATTTATTTTATTTATTTATTTATTTTTACAGAGCTCTGGTTTATAATTTTGTGATAAAGTTTCAATACAGATGGCTGTCAATTTGGTGTGAGGATGTCAGAGGGCTAATCCTAGACCATATAGGCAGGCTCATGAGACATTGTACTGCCCTGTCACCTTGATCAGTATCCTTGTTCAACTGATGAGGAGACTGGACCATGGTGGTGAGGTGATTTTGTCCTAGACCTCACAGCTAGTGTGCATGGGAGGACAGTAATAGAGCTGGCTAGGAAAGTAGGAATCTCAAGCTCAGGTAAGGAAAAAGCACCAAGTGAGTTGAGGCATTCACACTGATTTGGAAGAGCAGCCCTTGAAGGAATGAGGTCAACTGGTGTTTCCAGTCAGGCCCTTAAGCAACTCATGGAGGCATGTGGTAGCTGTAGATAACTGTAGATAGCTGTGGTAATGGTTTCGGAATGTGGCTCAGAGAAGCTTGGCCCGGCCAAAGCAAACTGCTGGATATGCACAGGCCAGTATATGGGCACAAACTTATCACCAAGTCAGAACAGAGCTGACCCTCCTGTGGGCTTTTGAAGGCTATAAAGCACTCACAAGTCTGCCCATCTTTCTCCCAAGGAGCAATTGATGGATTTGAACTGCTTGCCTTTGGGCTGGAGCGTAACTAGGCCATCAGAGCTCCCTATATAGGTAATAAGGAGGGCTGAAGACTCAAGAATTCAGGGCTTTGGGGAGAACAAGATAAAAATTATTTGTATGTGTTTTCATGTGTGGTGTATGTTGTTGTTATGTAGCATTGAGCCATAACTGATACATACATAGCTGACCCTCCAGCAGGATTTCAGGAGCTGTAAATCCCATGGGAAGAGACTGCTCATCTTTCTTCCATGGAGCAGCTGGTGGATTCGAACTGCATGCCTTTGGCATTGCAGTGCAGCTTCTTTCCACTATGTCACTATATATATTTATATATATATATATATATTTATATTGTTGTTGTGTACCGTTGAGTCAGTACTGACCCATCGCTGACCCTCCAGCAGGTTTTCAGAGGCAGTTATTGGCAAGGGAGGAGATTCCCCATCCTTCTCCCACGGAGCAGCTGTTCGCTTTGAATCGCATGAGATTGCAGTGCAGCTTCTTGCAACTAGGCCACTAGAGCTCTCTATATTAATTGAATATATATTATTAATTTTAATGAAAGTTTACAGAGACTTTGGATTTCCATTCATTCATTGTTGCACTTTTCTCCCTGCCCACCCCTCCCTTCTCAGTTCTCTCTTCTCTTTGAAAAGTAAAAGAAAAATTCTTTCATTGTTATACAACCCTCCCCGCAAGTCCACTCCACTATGCAGCCTTCATTCTGAACTCCTGTCATGATAATAATACCTAATCATATATCCCTTTTAAACAGTTCTCTCCCGCATCTGTTTCAATGCAGTATACATTATTTATCCTCTCTTTTCTTAAGTTCTCCCCAACCCTGATATCAGTCCCATTTTACAACAGTGGCACTATGCAGCATTTGTCCTTTTGTAACTAAGATATTTCACTCAGCATAATGTCCCCCAGAGTCACCCATTTTGTATAATATTTCATTAATTCCTTGTTTTTCAATGCAGCATAGTATTTCATTGTGCAAATATACCATAGCTTCTCTATCCATTAGTTTGTTAATGGTCAATTGGGTTGATTCTAACTCCTTGCTATTGTGAACAAGGCCACGATAAACATGGGTGTGCATATATCTGTTTGGGTGGCAGTTATGGTCTCGTTGGCATATATTCCCAGTAGTGAAATTGCTGGGTCAAATGGTATTTCTATTTGCAACTTTTTGAGAAAGCGCTACACTGCCTTCCATAGTGGTTGCACCATTTTACACTCCCACCAACAGTGAATAAGAGTTCCAGTTTCTCCACAACCTGGCCAGCACTTGTTGTTTGCTTCTTTGTTGAATTTTGCTAATCTTCCTGGGGTGAGATGATATATTGTAATTGTTTTGATTTGCATCTCTCTTAGAGCTAGGGATTTTGGGCACTTCTTCATATGTGTGTTTGCCATCTGAATGTCTTTTTTGGTGAAGTGTCTGTTCATATTTTGTGCCCATTTTTCAGCTGGGTTGTTTACCTTTATTTTGTTGTGGTGCTCAAGTATTCTATAAATTCTAGATATAAGTCCCTTATCAGACATGTCATTACCAAATATTTTCCCCCAGTCTGTGGCTTTCCTTTATACCCTGAGTTCATAGCCACCCTATGTACAAGAGCCCTAAACACTACTCTATCCTGTGCCAACCTCGTCATCTCCAACAAACTCATTCCCACCACCCCAATCACAGAATTGATCCATCTCATTGAGGGTCTTCCTCTCCTGCTACATCCCTCCACTCTCCCAAACATGATGTCCCTCTCCAAGGACTGGTCCCTCCTTGCAACATGCACTATGTATGTCAGATAAGGCTTCAGAATCCTTGACTCCAAGGAGCAGCTGGGCTTCACCCTCTCCAGGACAAACCTGTTTGTTCTCCTAGCAGTCTGTGGTATAGTGAACACTCTTCTCCAGCACCACAGCTCAAAGGCATAAATTCTCTTTCTTTCATCCCTATTCACTGTCCAACTCTCGATGCATAGTGTGCAATTGCAAAGACTATAGCCTGGATCAGGCACATCTTAGTTTCCAGGCTGACATTGTTGCTCTTCAGTACTCTGGAGATGTCCCTGACAGCTGACTTTCCCAATGCATCTCTTAATTTCCTGGCTGCTGTTACCAAAGAGTGTTGACTATGGAGCCAAGCAAACTAAAACTGTTAACTATCTCAATCTCTTCACCATCCATACTGATGCTGCCAATTGGCCCAGTGATGAGAATCTTTGTTTTCTTGATGGTGAGCTTCAATCTGTATTGAAGGCTGCACTCCTTGACCTTCTGCAGCAAGCACTTCAGGTCCTCCTCAGTTTCAGCAAGCAGTGTTGTGTCATCTGCATAATGCAGGTTGTTGATGAATCTTCCACCAATCCTGATGCCACATTCCTCCTCATACACATGCTAGCCCAGCATCTCAGATGATCTGTTCTGCCTATAGATTGAAAAGGTATGGAGACAAAACACATCTCTGATGGACCCTCTTCTTCATTTTGAACCATGTAGTGTCTCCTTGTTATGTTCTGATGACTGCCTCTTGGTCCAAGTATAGGTTTCGCATAAGCACAATCAAATGTTCTGGGATTCCCATTTGTCTCAGAGTCTGCCATAGCTTGTTGTGATCCACACCGTCTTTGTGACCCAAAGCCTTTGCATAGTCAATGAAGCACAGATAGACACTCCTCTGGTATTCTCTGCTTTCTGCCAAGATGCATCTAACATTAGCTGTAATATCCCTAGTACCACGACATATATATTCATATATATATATATTCATATTCATTCATCCATTCTGGTGAAAAGCAATATTTTTTTATCCCAGTTAATACTAGCAAAAAATTCAAATATATAAGTAACATTATTATTGCTGTTTTACAGATGAGGAAATTGGAATTTAAACAGTTCAAAGTAGCTTGATAACATTACACAGCTAGTAAGTGAGCAGATTATGAGTATCAAGTAAAACAGGTACCTTTGCTAGACTGAGAATTTTACTCTCTGATTGTATGTGAAATCTGTGATAAAGTTCAATTGCATGATTCTGTGATAATTAATAATTTTGTAGACATTTTAAAATAATATATTAATGATCATACTATAACTATTGCTGCCTTACTTTTATTTCCAATCTTCTAATTCCCTAAAGAGCAATGGCATCAGTTTAAAGACTAAGGTGTGCCCAATCCAAGCCATGGTCTTTTCAATTGCTTCCTCTGTGTATGAAAGTTGGACAATGAATAAAGAAGACAGATTGTTCCTTTTGATTTTGATTTTGACATTGATGCTTTTGAATTGTGGTGCTGGCAAAGAGTACCAGGCATCCCATGGACAGCCAAAAGAACAAACAAGTATGTCTTGGAAGTGTAACCAAGGTGCTCCTTAAAGGCAAGGATGGTGAAACTTCATCTCATATACTTTGGGCATGTTGTCAGGTATGACTGGTCCTTCGAAAAATATATCATGCAAGGAAGGCTGGAAGGTCAGTGAAAGAAGGGAAGACTCTCAACAAGGTGAATTGACATAGCAACTGTAGCAGTGAACTGGAGCATGTTAGGGATGGTGAAGATGGTGTGGGACAGGGTAAAGGTCAGATATGTTGTTCATTGGTTCACTATGGATTGTAATGACACAGTCAACTCAATGGCACATAACAACCACTAAAAACACAGCAATACCCTTAGTGAACCGCCACAAGTTAGAATGCTCTTTAGTGAGTTTATCTCAACTCAGACATTAATTACCTCCATATTCTTATTTTAAGTTGTTCTTCATAACCCATCTCTTTTAATGCGGGATCTTAAGACTTTATACCTACCTGCCTATGTTGGGCCAATGACATTGTCCCTTCTCAGAAGCACACCTTTTATTTCTTTCTCTTGGTTCATATTAATATAAATCCTTAAATATTTACATAATGCTGGGCATATAGATGTAAGAAATTAAGTTCTTCTCTCGTGTGGGAGAGAAAGCAATGGTGTTACAAATGCTTGGAGAATGGCAGTTCTAGAATGCAGGATATTAATTCATACCAATGTGTCTGTATCTATCAAGTCATTTTCCTAACTTATTATAAAATTATGGAAAGCCAAGAAGTCTTGGTCAGGGGAAATAAAAGCTAAGATCAGTCAAATATGAAATTGGGCATTCTTAGCATCTTGCTGTTTTTGTTAAGTGCCATTGAATATGACTCATAGTGACTCTATGACCAACAGATCTGAACCCTGTCCTGGCCTGTGCTATCCTCACCATCTCTGATACACTTGAGCCCATTGCTGCAGTCACTGTGTCAATGCATCTTGATGGAGGTCTTCTTCTCTTTCACTGACCCTCCACTCTTACTGACCATGAAAACTCTCTCGTTGTTTGTTGTGGGTTGTTTGTTTGTTTTTTTTTTAAATTTTATACTAGTTTATTTTCAAAATTTGAATACATTGTTTTCAAGAACAGATTCTTCCCATTTCCCTCACTCCTCCATCAAATAGTACAACTCCGCTATTAATATCCTCTCCCCTACACATCCTCATTCCTCTGCTTCCACCTTTCTCACCCCTCTTGGATCCT